GAGAGAGAGAGAGAGAGAGAGAGAGAGAGAGAGAGAGAGAGAGAGAGAGAGAGAGAGAGAGAGAGAGAGAGAGGAGGCGGAGGATTGGGAGACAGAAGAGAGAGGGAAGGTTACTTCTTTCAGCTGACATAGCCTCTTTCCTCTCTGGATAACCTCCTCATCATGTGCAGTCTTCTCATCCTTGATCTGCTGTCGCAGAGCCCGCACAGCTGCAGCTAGCTGCCCATGGAGGATACAGTGGACATCGTCAAACGGGCATCCAAAAGGCATAAAGACCGCAGCCAGCGAAGTTCAGTATGTTGTAAGTAATCAACCAAAAACATTAACAGACTCTAATACCGATTAGTTGGTTAGCCAACCACGAGTACATACCATTGGGTGAGCCAAGGATGCTTAAGTGTTTCTTTGCCTGCACACATGTAACTCCACTGTCATTGCACCACTCTGTGAGAGTTTGTGCAGTGGTGTGGTGGTATCACTGCAGTAGTGGGGTGTATGTCCCAGAAGAGGAATGGGCACCGTAGTCGGGCGTGCACTTTTCATCTGAGCCTGAGATATTATCGCCCAATCCCTTACAGGAGAAATCGGGTCTCTCTCCACTTGTCTGCTGTGCTTGAATCCTGGTGATGCACACACACACACACGTACGCACACGGACACACACGTAGTTCTCTGGATTGTGGGGTCAGAGTTCTATAGCCAGGGAACCTTTTGTTCATGCATATCTGGGTGTGTCAGCACTTACATGTTAGCAACGATGTGGTTGGCCTTGCACCGGGGCCATTTGGTCAACTACAACATGCTCAAGCTTGCAATCTCCATCCTTTTGTCTCTCGAGGCTCTGGTTTGATATTAGGTGATTCGATAAAACACACGCGCAAGCACATGCAGGCACAACCTACAGTGATACATACTCGTTGTCGGATTGATCATCTGAAGCATGCTTCATTGTCTGCAATAGAAGTTATATGGAAGGATCAGGGAGGGCTGGGCATCCTGGACCCCGAACAGCAACTGAAAGCGCTCCAAACCAAATGGGTCCTCGAGCTCTTATCCCATCCTCAGCTCTCATGGGTCCCCTTGGTACTAGAGCACATCAGAGAGCTGGCCAAGTACAAAACCCCACCCAATATGGAGGGTACCTTCTGGCTATTCTGCAAAAGCTGGGCTGAGAAAGGAGGAACACGTGCCGATGGGGGAGCGGCAGGGGAAGGCCAAATGGGGGGCTCCTACTGGGCCCAAATTCTCAAAATATGGGGTGAGATCTTTCCAGCAAGAGTGAGACAGCCTACTACGAGGGAGGAGGTCCTCAGACAACCCCTATTCTGTAATCCTTGGATGAAGGATTTACAAGGAAAGCCCAGAACACTAACTGCGAAGGACGCCAAGTGGGGAACCTGGCTCGAGCACGGTATCTGGCAGGTGAAACACCTTTGGTCGGAAGATAACCACAGATGGAAAACAGGCAGGGAACTGAGAGAAGAAGTGAAGGGAAGTCACAGACTACTCGAAAAACTAAATGATATCCTCATCTCCATCCCGGAGGAGTGGACACGCATGTTGAGAAGTCCGCAGCAATGGAGAAACAGCGACGGGGCAACCTGGAGTTTCAGCGACAAACCCTCCCAAGCCTTTCGTATCAGGCAGCCGGTGGGACCAACCAAAGAATGGCTGAGTGCAGACATGTACACAATCTCAGTTCCCGGTGCCACCATCAGTTAATTAGACAAGGAATCACGCAACCCGATCACCATCAAATCGGATAAGCTGAGGAAGGTGAGAGTAATAGAGACTGAAGATTTCACGATCTTCGCCCCGACAACCAAGATTCAGAACCTAGAAATAGACCAATGGGCCTGGAACATCAGGGAGGGAACGCTACGAGTCGCCAGGAGAATTAACATCCTACATTATACTACCAAGCTGGGCTAGCGTCTGAGGAAACGCTCACTCCCGCTCGCCCATCCGTTGTCGTTGAGATGGGAGAAGAGGGTTGACATACCGAGAGAACAAGTCAAGCAATTGCCTTGGCCATGGCTACACACCATCAGGTAAGGTAAGATCAAGAGTATGCAGTAGCTCATCCTTCACGTGGCACTCCCAGTCAACACGTGGCTGTACGACCGGCGTAGTAGACACCAAAGAGACGTAGCGGACCAAGCCTGCTCCCAGTGCACGGGTGGCACACTTGAAACTCTGGCGCACTGCCTCCTACAATGCCCAAAGCGGAATACCTATGGACAGAGGCTAGAATGCTGTGGCTGCGCATTACGTCGGCGTCCTTCCCACAAGACAGGAGGACGTTACCGACAGGAGGCGATGCGCCACATCTTCCAGCTGTTGAGATAGTACACGTTATGGACTATCTGGAAATGGAGATGCCAACAAGCAATGGGCAGACACCAATGTTTAGAGCAGAAGCTAAGGCGACGCTCTACAACCTCATGGAAACCGATATCAGAGCCCAATGGCAGAAAGCCAAAAGACAGGCATCACTAAGACCAGAGCGAGCCAAGGACCTAGCTGACAAATTCCAGAAAAAGACGCTGGCCCAGGGCAAAGTAAAGGGCCTACAAGGGAAAACCCAACGCTTCCTGTTTCCCGGAGAAACGTCAGATTTTAAGGAGGGGTAGTATCTAGGAAACAGGGGGGCGCAGGGTTCTGGTAAAGAAAGGAGGACGATGCACAGGCAGGAAGCAGGGCAGGTCCTCCTAAGCCTATTGGAAACCAACGTCCAGGCACAGTGGAAAAGAGCACAGAGGCAGATGAGACAGCAACCCGACCAAGAACAGGAATTGAAAGACAGGTTTGAGCGCAGAATTCTGGGGAATGGCAAAGTAGCAACTATCCAGGCCTCAGTCCTAGTATTTCAGTGGAGACAGAGCTGATGAAGCGGCGACGGTAAAGGGAAAGAAGAGCAACAGCAGTAGGGTTTAGGGTTTACGGAGACAAACCAAGGAAAAATAGCATCAATAGGTGTAGGGTTTAAGGGTTTAAGGAGAAGGGTTCAGAAAAGGGAGAGGGGAGGGATAGGGTAGACAGGGAAAAAAAGGGTTAAGGGGACAGGAACAGTCTGTTTTTTCCCTTCGGGGGTTCAGTACCTTAGCTGTTTCTTTATTTCTGTTTGCCAGTTCTTAGTCCAGTTTCCCTTTTGTTGAAGTTGTAGATAAGGGGACGCTGGACCCGGTTTCCAGCTCGAGCCAAATATGGGTAATGGCCCCAGCTCTGTCCCGGATGAGATGCCGAGGAATTCCCTGCCTCATGGATTTTTATATAATAAAGCTGCAACTGTTTTTGAAAAAAAAAAAAAAAAAAAAAAAAAG